CAAGCAGGAAGCGACGTACAGCAACCTCTTTCACATGATGAAAGCAGCGATGCCAGAAGTTCATCCAGATTCGATGGCTTCAGATTTCGAAATTGCACCGAAGCACGCAATGAAGAACGCGCTTCAGGTGTTCATCATCATGGTTGTTTCTACCATCTGAATTACAACATGACGAAGCGTTTGGTCGAACTCTATATACTTGGTGCTTATGAGGCCGACAGTGAGTTATTCTTGAACGAGGAACGAGGGTGGTAACTGCATTCGCGACCAATCAAACGATCGATAGACCGACAAACAGACTTCTTGCGTGGTTCAAAGACAGCTTCGTCTGTCGTAGAGGAAATACAACACCCTGCTTTGTTTACACCAGCCAAATCTGATCCGTATATTTCAGAGTAATCCACAGAGAAGACCGTAAGAATAACCATACAGAAGCAGGCCATGGAAGAATTCAGAGCGAATTAGTAGCGTCTCACCCGTCAGTATGGAAGTTAACTGATGGACCCTGCAAAGTGCAGAAGGCCCAGGAAATATGCTGCGGGTCATCAGCCATCGGGACACGGATGAAAGAATAAAGTCTATCGTAAATAATTCCTATAATAGGAACATCATTATTATTTATCTCCGTGGGTTAGTGTATAACTACGAAATGGCACGGTGTTATAATATTTTGGCATGATCAAATTGTTTCTGACGAAGAAAATTAACTTTTGTTCGATTTCGATTATTTCATTCAAAGATTATAATTCTTTAAAACAAACTGACATGTTATCGTTTGGTTCTAGCTAATAGTTTGGTTGAATACAATGACTGATACCTTATAAAAGTATATGAAAATAACAGATTAATTGTTGACTTAAAGCCACCTGCCAATCAGTATTGTAACATAATTTATGTATAGCGTTCAGAGAGAGCTTGTTTTTGTTGATATGCTACATGATGCAGTTTGTCATAAAGGAAACAGAGATGAATTTGTGAGAGTTCCGCAAATTCGATGATTTAATGAGCTCACATGATAGTGATAGTGAAGTTCGTCAGATGAAGATGCCAAATTATTGCTACTTATGGCGAAGGTTTCGTATTCTGTACACAAAGATATTTTAAGCGATGACGGATTAAATATAGTAAATTATGTAAATAATTATTTAGTCAATTAAATTTACTCAGACTCCCGATCAGATTACAATTCGCTGGCTTAGCGACCTCGCGCAGTCACCACGATGGAGTCATAAACTGAAAACCAATTACATTCATGGTTTGACAACGGCTTCTCATTGCACTCTCATGGAGTTTCTACTGATAGCAATATTAAGGGTGAGGTAAAACAATTGATAAAGACGACCATCTTCCACCAACATAAATCGAAACTCATGACCGCTGTCTAAAGTACGGACATCGTGTAGTCATCACTAGGAAATTCACCAGTTTGACAACGGCTTCATATTTCATTCGCGACAGCTATCCACTGATATATAACTTGATGGGATGGATCACACAATTGATACCGCTGACCACTGTCCAGTCTGCTGACCGCTGACCACAGGTTCAGTGCGGCAACTGTGGAACCAAGTGCTGACATGAGCCATAAGTTTGCGCTAAAATGGGCTATTTTGGTCTCTATCCTGGGCAACATCCTTCAAAAATGTATTCACTACGGATATATGAACCAAAGATTATGCCCTGTGGTCATTAAGCTTTGTTCACCTTCATAGTTCTTTGTAATTTTCGTTTTCATCTCTAGATTAAGTTTAGCGCGTTTACTTACAGGTTCATTTATTCCAGTTCTGTTGTTTTTTTCAGTCATTAACTACTGTGCCGCTGCGCATGCAAACATTAAAATTATTGAAGTTATGAATAAAAGTCCACAACACGTCTGTGTTCAATAATGAACAAACCGAAACTGAGGATGGCGTCCGCGTAGGACATCTGACTTGCAGACGACCGCTGTCAGGTGGCGTGCATGTATTGTTGACTCGTTGAGGAAAATTGTCATAAATCGAAACTTTTCCATAACCTTTTCAGGACAACTTGCGCAATTTGAGTTTGATGTTCAGGTATACAGTACAAAAAAATAAATGAACAAACGAACAAGTAACAATTTGCACGTTGCATAGGACTCTGAAAGCGAAGGAGAAACGTGGCGCAAGAACATATTGATTTTGAGTGCTGTTCCTCTGTCTTAGCTAAGAATGGTTTATAGTAGCTATGTTAATTAGAAATGTTCACATCAGATCTCCAAGCCAGCTGATGCCTTCAGGACCTTGTCGTAAATATTCGTTTATCGCTCGTGGAATTTGCAGAGCAGTCATTCAAAATCAATAACTGCATCATCTGGTCTTCAGGACTGCAACCGCATTGCCGGCAGGCTTTCATTTTCAAAGGAAGTGTTCGCACTGTGCTGTGCGAATTCAGTTCAACTGGTGGCCACAAAAATAGAATTTTATGAAGCGACGTTTTTAAAAATATTCAACCAAAAATATTCTCCCAATAATATTCTAGAATTATAATACCATTCTAGACGAAAAAGGGTGTCTTTCAGTCACATAAGCCCGAAGGTTTCTGCTGATATTCTTGAC